AGTTAAACTTATGTTTTAGGCAAGATATGCATTGTTTTTTTTAAGTTGAACCTTCTGTTGGCATAGTTCCCACTCTTAACTGATTATTGTTAAGTTGTCAAGGTAACAAGAACAAGGTCTGCTTAAAAAAATTGATGAGCCGCATCACGACAAAACCAACATAGTGCATTTGCGACCAGCATGGATCCAGACCAGCCTGCGCATCCGCGCAGTCTGATCAGGATCCATGCTGTTCAATATCAGTTTCTCTACTTGTAATAGGGTTTGTAAGCGACAGCATGGATCCTGATAAGACTGCGTGGATGCGCAGGCTGGTCTGGATCCATGCTGGTCGCAAACCCATTATGTTGGTTTTGTCGTGACGCGGCTCATGTATACATGATTATTTGGATAATTAAAAACCATATTAAGAAAGCCATATATTTGTCGAGGCAGTCACTAAGCACTCTTCTATTACTAAACAAGTCATTTACAATAGCAAAAGGAAAGCAACTTGAATTTACAAAAATTTCAAAACCAAATAAAAATAGGTCAGAATATGCAAAAATATCCTTTAATGTGTTAGTCAAGCTGTAGAAATGTGGTGATAAAAAGTGCAAAATCAGTCATTAATTGCCTATATATGTAAATGTAACACGTACATTATTTCTTGAATTGTGAAAACTTAAATTACTTTTCTTAAAAGCTTAATACATTTCCTCAAGGTTGATTTTCTTGAAATTGTTTTAGCTCAACTGGAGGCATACAACTTTAAGGAAAATTTGTTTATCCACATGTACATACATAATAGATGTTACAAACATCATGTATATTGATCAGATATTCAAATTCTCCACAAAACACAAGGATATGTTATAGGGATTTTTATTTTGTTTTTCCTTATGAAACCTTAGCCTTTAATTACAATAAACTAGTCTTGCTCGTATATTTAACTTCCTGTTTCGTTTGGTTATCCTGGTATCGGGTAACCTTCAAAATTCTCCTGGTAAAATAAACAAACCTGTCATATTAAACCCATTTTTTTTTAGTGATAATGGCTTAAATAATCTGTTATCACATGAACCTTATTCTTGTTTAGATAGAGCAGTGACTTAATCTGAATTACAATACAATTATTGCTGATAACATAAAAATTGGAAACAAATTTTCATTGTTTGAAGTGCAAGGCCCTAATGACCTAAAAAGGGACAAGTGCCATGGCCCTCAGGTAGGGGAATTATGCGTCTTTTTGACGAAGAAGAGGAATCAAAATTTGTCTGTTAACAACAAGACTTATATAATAGTACACAACAATAATCCAGTTAAACTTTTCAGTATTTGTTGTATATCCCCTGAAACGTTTGAGGGACATTGTCTAACTTCTTAAATTAGATGTTATTCTGAACTTGGCAAGTATGAGTTTTTCCTAACATATCCCGAGGTTTAAACAAACTTTGACCGTACACTATACCATTCACAATAGAGTGATTAACATGTTATGTTTATTATCTATAAGATCTATGTATTTATCAAGTTGTAACAGTTTAATGTAGTTTGTTTTTATTCCGGGAAATCTCCCAATTGCTGAGTTTCGGAGTATTTCTACATGTATTCCTATTTGTGATAAAGGATTTTACCCAATAAATTCTACTGTAATAATTATTGTATAATGCACCTAAACTTTATGTTTTAGCTGAGTGAATGACTCATTTGAAATCCCACATGATCCTTTAGTAATTTGTTAATTGGTATCACTTTACAATGAAAAATGCACAATCATATTATCAGAAAAAATCCCTGATCTTCGAAAAGTTTAAAGTCTTTGTGTTAATGGAGCATAATGTTTGTTTGTTACAACCATATCAACTGAAAGAGCTTAATTAAGCGAAACATGTTTTGATAAAGTTTGTTGGTTTACAATGTATGCATAATTTATCATTTGTTTCAACCAGAGAGACCTTGAAATAAAAAACTAATATATATGTTTGTTTGGGTTAAATATACAGGCATAATCAACAAAAATCTAACACAGTTTTATATTAAAGTTATGAGTACCAGTGTTAAAATGGTACAATCTAACAATGTGAGGCACTGTTGGTTTGATATATCAATTCACAGGTTTTTAAAATATCAAATATACTTTAAATGTATAAAGTATCATGTAAAATTTGTACTCATGACATCAGTAATGTAATATTTAGTATGTATGAAACAATTGTGTTGTTGTTTTTTCACATGCAAGAAAAGTACAATGTATTCATTTTACATGTATATATTTTTTACGATCATTTAATGCCCTTTGTTCATTTATGAATCAGCTGCTCCTTTATCGAAAGTTCTCTAGAGCTATGCAACTAATTTGTTATAAACTTTTTTCATCTCACACCTTTGTTGGCATTTCTATCTTTGAAAGTTCAAGTAGTTGTTGCATGGTTGCCATGGAAAACCCTTCCCCCCTCCCCCCCCATCCAAAAATAAAATAAAATAAAAATCTGTAAAAAGCACCATTAAACAAAAAATTGTTCTGCTGATATAAAAAGAAACCTTCAAACATCAACTCAGCAACAGTTGCCAGTCCCAAGTGTATTATTACATTAATGAGTTAGTCCATTTTATAAAAAGCAAATTTAGTGCCTAAGTAAAGTGGTTCTAACGTTAATAATTTAATTTATTATTCAAGGAAAGTTAATGGTAGAGTCATAATATTTTGCCCAGTCTTTGATGAGGCAAGTTTTCCTGTCAGAGTGAAGTTATTTTATAACTTAGGCATGCATTTTATCATTAAATTTTTAGCTCGACTATACGAAGTATATGGAGAGCTGTCCTACTCGCCCCGGCGTCCGCGTCCGCGTCCGCGTCCAGATTTCAGATTAAAGTTTTGGTGCAGTAAAATATTTTTCACTATAACTTTGTCATTTCTTAAGGTATCAACTTCAAACTTCAAATATATGTTCCTTATCATCAACCACATCTTATGTGACAAGGTTCATAACTCTAGCACCAATATTTTCAGATTTATCTCCCCTTGAACTTAGAATTTTCCTTAAAAAATACTATTTTTTACTGTAACTTCTTTATTTCTTAAGGGATCACCCTCATACTTTAAATAAATGTATCTTATCATCATCCCCATCTTATGTGACAAGGGTCATAACTTTAGCACCAATGTTTTTAAGATTTATCTTCCCTTGAACTTAGAATTTTCCTTAAAAAATAATATTTTTTACTGTTACTTCTTTATTTCTTAAAGGATCACCCTCATACTTCAAATATATGTACCTTATCATCATCCCCATCTTATGTGACAAGGTTCGTAACTCTAGCACAAATAATTTCAGATTTATCTCCCTTGAACTTAGAATTTTCCTTAAAAAAATATTATTTTTTACTGTAACTTATTTATTTCTAAAGGGATCAACTTCATACTTCAAATATATGTACCTTATCATCATCCATATCTTATGTGACAAGGTTCATAACTCTAGCTCCAATATTGCAAGAATTATCTCCCCATAAACTTAGATTTTTTTACTAGAAAAATGTTATTTTTTATTATAACTTTTTTATTTTTAAAGGTATCTAACTCAAACTTCAAATACTTATTCTTTATCATCAATTACATTTTATGTGACAATGTTCATAACTCTAGAAGTAATATTTACAGATTTATCTCTCTTTGAACTTAGGATTTTCTTTAAGAAATATAATAACTTCTTTACTTTTTAAGGTATCTACTTCAAACTTCAAATATATATTTCTTATCATAACACACATGTTGTGTGAAAAGGTCCATAACTCTAGCATGACTATTTTTAGAATTATTCCCCTTGATCTGGAATTTATGTTAACAAATGTTATTTTTTTACTATAACTTAATACATAATTATACATAATTGATTTTTCTTTCATAGTTTTGTCCTCCTTACTGCGTCCAGTATTTTATTAGTCGAGCTTCGCTGTCTCCTGTGACAGCTCTTGTTATTTATAGCTGCTGTGATACTTATTCTATTATTAAAGAGCCACTATGGTCGTCTAGTTAAATCATCTTACACAAGCATGTCGTTAAAAGCTCATTGATGGGTAATGTCCTTAGTAAGAGGAAATTATGTTAAGACTGAAGACAGGAAATTTTGATAACTACAAGTGTGTACAAATGTGGTTAGCGCACGATTGATATAATGCACTTCTAATTTTGTGATTTAAAATTCTCATGGAATAGTTTTGCTGCATTGTATAGTACTATATATGGTAATGAAAGCTTATCAAACCATGATCTTATTACAACTATAGTGTTAAATGTTGTTTTTTCACTTCCTCATTGCTGTAATTATTACCTCTTGTGTGAAATATAGTTTACAGTTAGTGAAGATATTTTATAAGTATTGTGGTGACATTGTTAGTAAGGAAATTTAAATGTTATTGTAATAAATGATTCCTTGCTTGCATGGGTCTATATATGGATTTTTTTGATGACATGGGTCTATACATATAATTATTGTAAATTCTAAAGGTCCAAACATTTAGATACTTTGCTTCCATGGGTCTACATTATCAGCCTCATAGTTTTAAAAATTATACCACTCAGCAGTTAAGTACTGCATTCATATCAAGTTTTTAATATTTCTTATTATTGTCACAAACACCATAACACTGAGTCAGTCCAAGCCATAACCCCCCCTCCCCCCCCATCCCACAACACTGTCCCACACTGTCCCAATCGCTTCAAAATAAAGAGAATGTATTTGAGAAGACGGATAAAGGTCATGTTTCTTGTGTTACCTAGAAAATTGTCGTCTGCTACAATATCGTCAGTTCTGTTTATTTTTAGAAATTTTATCCATTTTATCAAACAAACTTAAGATCCTGACGGAGGTTTTTCACTTCTTGTACCAGGCTGTATTTGGTGTTTGACAGTGTCGCTGTATACAGGTCGAGGGTTAAAATAGACAATATTGTTTTAATTGGTTCTAAGTACTTTCTGATGAATATGAGATGGAAGTTATTTATAAACGTTACATACTTTATTTGTTTCCTCAGCATTAGTTGAATCCAAGAACTGAAAAAGAGAAGGTTTAAATTGAAATATTAACAATGCATCTTGTAATCAAGGTTAGTTTTTTTGTTGTCTTATTTTGAAATATGTTTTACGTCTGATAAGTAATATTAATTATGCCCCCATTTCGAAGAAAAGGGGGTATATTGCTTTGCACTTGTCGGTCCGTCGGTCCGTAGACCAAATGGTTTCCGAGTGATAACTAAAGAACCCTTAAGCCTAGGAACTTCAAACTTGGTATGGTGATTGGTCATGACAAGTAGATGACCCCTATTGATTTTGGGGTCAAGGGGTCAAAGGTCAAGGTCGCATTGACCTTGTAAGCAAAAACGGTTTCCGATCAATAACTAAAGAACCTTAAGGCCTAGGAACTTCAAACTTGGTATGGTGATTGGTCATGATCAGTAGATGACCCCTATTGATTTTGGGGTCAAGGGGTCAAAGGTCAAGGTCACATTGACCTTGTAAGCAAAAACGGGTTCCGATCAATAACTAAAGAACCTTAAGGCCTAGGAACTTCAAACTTGGTATGGTGATTGGTCATGATTAGTAGATGACCCCTATTGATTTTGGGGTCAAGGGGTCAAAGGTCAAGATCACATTGACCTTGTACGCAAAAACAGTTTCCGATCAATAACTAAAGAACCTTAAGGCCTAGGAACTTCAAACTTGGTATGGTGATTGGTCATGATTAGTAGATGACCCCTATTGATTTTGGGGTCAAGGGGTCAAAGGTCAAGATCACATTGACCTTGTAAGCAAAAACGGTTTCCGATCAATAACTAAAGAACCTTAAGGCCTAGGAACTTCAAACTTGGTATGGTGATTGGTCATGATTAGTAGATGACCCCTATTGATTTTGGTGTCAAGGGGTCAAAGGTCAAGATCACATTGACCTTGTAAGCAAAAACGGTTTCCGATCAATAACTAAAGAACCTTTAGGCCTAGGAACTTCAAACTTGGTATGGTGATTGGTCATGATTAGTAGATGACCCCTATTGATTTTGGGGTCAAGGGGTCAAAGGTCAAGGTCACATTGACCTTGTAAGGAAAAACGGTTTCTGATCAATAACTAAAGAACTTTAAGGCCTAGGAACTTCAAACTTGGTATGGTGATTGGTCATGATCAGTAGATGACCTGTATTGATTTTGGGGTCAAGGGGTCAAAGGTCAAGGTCACATTGACCTTGTAAGCAAAAACGGTTTCCGATCAATAACTAAAGAACTTTTAGGCCTAGGAACTTCAAAGTTGGTATGGTGATTGGTTATGACCAGCAGATGACCCCTATTGATTTTGGGGTTAAGGGGTCAAAGGTCAAGGTCACATTGACCTCTTGGGTAAAAACGGTTTCCGATCAATAACAAAAGAACCCTTAGGCCTAGGGACTTCAAACTTGATATGGTGATATGTCATGATCAGTAGATGACCCCTATTGATTTTGGGGTCAAGGGGTTAAAGGTCAAGGTCACATTGACCTCTTAGGTAAAAACGGTTTCCGATCAATAACTAAAGAACCCTTAGGCCTAGGAACTTCAAACTTTGTATAATGATTGTTCGTGACCAGCAGATGACCCCTATTGATTTTTGGGTCAAGGGGTCAAAGGTCAAGGTCACATTGACCTTGTAAGTAAAAATGGTTTCTGATCAATAACTTAAGAACGCTTAGGCCTAGGAACTTCAAACTTGGCATGGTGATTTGTCATGACCAGCAGATTACCCCTATTGATTTTGGGATCAAGGGGTCAAAGATCAAGGTCACATTGACATTGTAAGTTAAAACGGTTTCTGATCAATAATTAAAGAACGCTTCGGCTTAGGAACTTCAAACTTGGTATGGTGATTGGTCATGAGCAGCAGATCACCCCTATTGATTTAAGGGTCAAAGGTCAAGGTCACATTGACCATGTATGTTAAAACGGTTTCCAATCAATAACTAAAGAACCCTTAGGCCTAGGAACTTCAAACTTGGTATAGTGATTGGTCATGACCAGCAGATGACCTATTGATTTTGGGGTCAAGTGGTCAAAGGTCAAGGTCACATTGACCTTGTAGGTAAAAACGGTTTCTGATCAATTAACTAAAAACGCTTAGGCCTAGGAACTTCAAACTTTGTATGATGATTGGTCGTGACCAGCAGATGACCCCTATTGAGTTTTGGGTCAAGGGGTCAAAGGTTAAGGTCATGACCAGTAGATACTTGATAACCCTTATTAATTGTTTGATCACTGGGTCAGAAGTCATGCATAATAACCTTATCACATGACTAATTGGCTGCTGATAGGGGGCATACATGTTTTACAAACATATCTTGTTTATTTAGTTTTTGGCTTATGTTGAGTTATCAGGGAGTTTTTTTTTCATTATCACCAGGAGCTGTTGTGAGGCCCCATTCCCGATTCAAATTATCCTCTTTTTTTCCCCTAATTTCAAAGAAATATTTCCAACTAACTTTTGCTAAATGAAATTCCCTAAATTTTAATATAATAACTGTTTTCCAGTCATATGGAGAGATGAACAAGTCCATTTAAAAAATTTTAAGGGTAGTTATAGGTCTATGAAGAGAAGTGTGTGACATGCGTGATTTGTGTGACTTGGGTGATATGTAACAATAAGGTCACAAGGGTAATTGTGAATTGTAAAATGAAGTGAACAGAACAGAACAGAATTCATTGATGTAGACCACCAGCCCATACAATATATACAATTGTAACATTAAAAAAGATACAATTTATAAAATGGATGAACTCTATTTATTTTCATGGATGGACATTCATTTTTGGATGGATTTTTTTTTCATAGGTGAACTTTTTTTCTTGGGGGGCTATTTTTCTTTGACTCAGATAATCAATGAACCAATCACTCTGTATGTTTTACTTTCTAGAGCAAGATGCCTCTGTTTAAGAACAATTCGGGGACGTCGAAGGACAAGTCGAAGCCCGGTAAGAAGGGGGGCTCATCAGGAGGGGTGGACATGAGTATAGGAGCACCATACATGGTACAGCACAATTTTCATGTGGGCTTCGACAAAGTTACAGGAGAATTTAACGGCTTACCTCCAGCATGGCAGATGCTGTTGGGGAGTTCAGATATCTCGTAAGTTGTCCTTTTGTGTAAAATGAGCCGCGTCACGACAAAACCAACGTTTGCGGCCAGCATGGATCCAGACCAGCCTGCACATCCGCGCAGTCTGATCAGGACCCATGCTGTTCGCTATCAGTTTCTGTTCTTGTAATTTGGTTGGTAAATGAACGGCATGGATCCTGATAAGACTGCGCGGATGCGCAGGCTGGTCTGGATATATGCTGGTCGCAAACATACTATGTTGGTTTTGTCGTGACGCGGCTCAAATTAGGTAAAGGAGTACTTTTTGATACTTTAAAGGTGAGAATTCAATTATTTATCTGAACGAAATAGTAAAGACATGATTTTCTATTTAAAGTTTGTCTAATTAGGAAGAAGATGATTTTAAACACGATTTGACATTAGTGTAGATTATACATTGTAAGTGGAACTTGATGAGTAGGTTGTTAAGGATAAAAAAAGTGGTAAGATAAAAGGGGAAATTTGTTTGACTTACGCAATCAGTAAACTGAAGTTAAAAAACACCTATTTTTGCAGGAAAGAAAAGTCAGTAAACTTGTATATCTTTTCAGGAAAGAAGAACAGAAAGAAAACCCAGAAGCTGTCATCAATTCCTTGAAAACATACAGTAAATCTATCAAGAAAAAGCCGGATGAACGCTATCTAAAGGTAAAAGAAATGACAAAATGATATTATCTCCTCCTTAATTATATAATCTGTCTTAAAATATACTTCAAGAAAATTTATATTGGGCCACTATTTGCCAGTTGTTGAGTTTGCTTAAGTTTGCCAGCTCTGAATTACCTGCCCTTCACAGCTGTGGGTTCAAAACCTGGCAGTGCCTATCGATTCTTTGATGTGAAGAAGCTTTCCGGCTAGCTTATTTTGAAAAGTTGTTGGTTCTTCTCGACTGTCAACTCTTTAATTGATTATTTAATTGATTATTAAATTGATATAGTGCAAGGATTATGTCTGAGGTCTGCTCCACTTGTACATGCTGGGAAGTTGTCAAATAACCTTTACAGTGTTTGAACAAGAAACTTTATAATTAGCTTGGTAAAGTAGTAAGATTTTAATAGTTTGAAAATCTAGGATTCTATCGTACATTGTGGGCTTATTTATGTAGCCAAGAAATTGAACATGTTATATTATCTATTGTTTTATGTAAGAATGCCTGTTTACTGTGTCACATGTCAGTGGTGGGGTTATTAGGAACATCTAGTTTGTACTTTGTCATCTAGAACAAACACTGACTAAATCAATCAGGTTCAATCAGCAGTTTGTTTATTATGATAAGTGCAGTCATTAACCTGTCCGATAATATACATTTTGACAACACTATACTGTAATAGCATAGTCAAGTGAATGACGTAACATATGTACATCTGTATGTATATTGTTTATAATACTGGTATATCAATGAAGTATATTCAATATACAATGTTGACAGTTATACTTATGTAGGTCAAATATAGGTAATTATATTTATGTGTATAAACTATCTCTTATATACATATAGTTAAAATACTATTAATTAGAACAATTAGAGAATTATTGCAGTTTTAGGATAGGAAAGAGATTATTTTGTAAGGTCATTAGGTGAACTTTGACATTTGTACATGTATTTTATATATATGATTTACAAACCAAAATGAAGAGACATTAATTTAAACAGTGAATTAAGTTTGGTGAATTTTTAGATATGATGTAAATTTCATTCTGAAATTTCTGTAATACAATATTAGACAATGTGTTATTGTGTAAATATATTCAGAACTTCCGTGTAAAAGTCATGAAATATTTATATATTAATTTCAAAAGCACTTCAAACTTGAATTTAGATCACAATGAAATACAGCTCTGAAATTATTAAATATAAGAATAAAGAATAGCCAAAAACAGACACTGAGTGACTCATAATGTTGTGGAATAGGTAAATATAGAAATGAACATTATTTCCTGGAAATTAAATATGAAAAAGATAGACAATGTTAGCTACATTGTACATGTACATATAATTATAGGTAGTAAGTTAAGGGAGCAATTATTATAATTTTGTTATCAGGACAGTTTGTAAAATCAGTCAATCTATAGGTAATCATAGGGACCAGTTATTATCTATATTGTTTTAATTTTAGGTTTTTAGCTTTTACAGCCAGTATGCATAATGTTAGGGACAAGTTATTATTTGTAGTAATGATGTTAATTACAGGTTATAAAATCTGAAGATGGTTCATATGCTAGGGACAAGTTATTATTTGTAGTAATGATGTTAATTACAGGTTATAAAATCTGAAGATGGTTCATAGTGCTAGGGACAAGTTATTATTTAAAGTTATGATGTTAAATTACAGGTTATAAAATCGGAAGATGGTTCATAGTGCTAGGGACAAGTTATTATTTGTAATAATGATGTTATATTACAGGTTATAAAATCTGAAAATGGTTCATATGATAGGGACAAGTTATTATTTGTAGTAATGATGTTAATTACAGGTTATAAAATCGGAAGATGGTTCATAGTGCTAGGTACAAGTTATTATTTGTAATAATGATGTTAAATTACAGGTTATAAAATCTGAAGATGGTTCATAGTGCTAGGGACAAGTTATTATTTGTAATATTGATGTTATATTATCGGTTATAAAATCTGAAAATGGTTCATATGCTAGGGACAAGTTATTATTTGTAGTAATGATGTAAATTACAGGTTATAAAATCTGAAAATGGTTCATATGCTAGGGACAAGTTATTATTTGTAGTAATGATGTAAATTACAGGTTATAAAATCTGAAGATGGTTCATAGTGCTAGGGACAAGTTATTATTTATAGTAATGATGTAAATTACAGGTTATAAAATCGGAAGATGGTTCTGATGATGACCTTGATGAGAGAGCTTCAGGTCCAAAAGTAGAATTTGATAATGATGCTAGTAAGTCAGATGACGTCTTTAAAAAAGAAGATGCCGACAAGAAAAAAGATGAGGTACGGTTTGTGTAGTACTTGTTTAGAGGATTTTAACATAGATTAGAAAGATTGGTTACTTATTAATCCTCGCCTCCCGTCAATCCTTACATTATTTTAGAACACATTGATAAGAATAAAATGGTGTAGCCTTAAATAAAACATCACTGCAAGTATATTAGTGTTTGCCCTACTTCTTAATCCATTGAGAAGACTGAACTCGATTTTGCATAAACAGTCTTCAATAGCATAAATCTGGTAAATAAAATGCATACATATGAAAAGTAGGTCAACAACTTATTTCTTATAAGAAAAAAATAATTACAAATGTCTTAAACATCTACAGTTGCATGTTGCTGCTTTTGGGGTGTTTGAGTCGTGAAAAGTTTTCTTATTAGCGTCTATGGCAAAATGCTTTGACGTCTTTTTTAAAATTTTGTTAAATTATAAACTTGTATCGAGACTTGCTTCTAAAATGTGAATGAATCAATGTAACATTAACATCTTATGGACAGTGAATAATGATGTAACATAACAACAAATTTTTGAATGTTGATTTTTCATCTAAAACACATTTAACTGCTTAGGTTGAAAAGGTACAAGAAGATGTTGCTAAGATTAAAGTAGATAAGAAAGAGAAAGAAGAACCTGTTGCAACAAGACGTCCAAAAGAACAAGCAAAGATGACCGATTTTGAAATAAATGAAGGACTGCGTAAGTATAATTGATATAAGACATTTTTTTAATCATGGGAAAATTTGCTTTATTTTATACAATACAGTAATTGTTACTTTCTTTGTATAGAGCACTGTTATGAATTTGAAACAGTCCATTCTAAATTTTGGTATAAAAATGATTTAATTGTTCAGTAGCAATCAGTGAACGGCTTCGTCAAATTTCTAAGTATTCCTGTCTTTATCTGTGCATCATCATACCTTATCGGTCTGTAAGAATGGTTTATTAAACATAACCCTTATTATGGAGGAACCTTCAGTGATGAGCATTTGCCACCTCTATAGAATCAGACCAGCCTGTTTATCCAAGCAGCCTGTTTATCCAAGCAGCCTGTTTATCCAAGCAGCATGTTTATCCTTGCACCCTAACCAGCAAACTGACCAAGCTCTTCTTTTAGCTGACTAACTTTAATGTTTCATCTTGATATCCCTATAATTGATAATGGACAGTTCCAATTGTCCATTTAAGAAACTCTGCAGGTTGTTTTAAGGGATATTTATGTATATTAATATGAGCTGTTTTAATTTTCAGGGAAGTTATCAAGTTCTGGTAATGCTTTAGAGAAATACGAGACTAAAAAGAAAGTAGGATCTGGGTAAGTCATATTTGCTGAAAATCTAAGAAACTTTTAAGACTAATGTGCAAACAAGATTACTAGAATTCAGAATTGGAGATTTGTAAACCTAGTACAGCTTCTTGTCAGTTTATAGCTTATACAGAATTTGTTGATTGTGAAGGAAGCTGTAAGCTTATAAGCAAACTCCCGAATCTGTTCCTAGAACCAACCAGTTGTAAGCAATGAGTGTAAAGTTTCATGCTCAAGGTAACATTGGCTTGCCCCTGGTTAGACCCATATAAACAATTTAAAACTTTTTTTTGTGACCGTGTGTAACATATTGTTGAATTAATGGTGTGATCCCTGAAAAGTCTTTGTAAATCTATAATTGACAGTGATTTTTTTCACATTTTTGGAAAAGATGGTGGGGCATATCAGTTTGGGGGGAATCAGCATGTTGTTTTCATCAATTTGGTGACAAAAAATCAAAATCAACAAGGTTTAAAATAATTTTTTAACAATAATTCAATTTCAAAGTAATGAAAACCAGGATTACCTTTTACATATCATTACTGCTTTACTTGATTTAAATCACTCTAAAACATTTTTTTTATTTTTATAAAATTTTTAAGGTGAAAATTGTTCTATAATTGGGGAGATATATATATCTTTTTACTAAGGAATTAAGCCCAATTTCAGCCCAAAATTATATATTCATTGATAATGAATTAAGAAATAACCAATTATATCAATATTATACTAGGAAATAATACAATATACATGTTGTAAAATACATGAATGATTGACAATTGTTTTAATTGAAGGATTGAGTAGAAAACTTCAAATTTTTTTCCTTAAAAATTTCCTGAGAAATAATAATTATCCTCCTTGCTTATTAAAAAAGAACTTTGCTTGACTGGTTATCATATTTTAAGAGGACATATTTTTTTGTTTGAATGAAATGTCGAAGATATTTTTACAAAATTTGATAAAATTCAATATATTTTCCTGAGTCAGAACAGTGACAACGATATGATAAAAGTACATATATTTTTCACATGCTGGAATGGTGAGTGAAAAAATATTGAATTTTATCATACTATGTGAAAATGTTATCCATATTTTACGAAAATAACCTTTCTATTTTCTATTTAATTTTACCATCTATAGTTGTTTATTAAAAACAATCTTCACTTTAATTTTCATATTTATTTTTAACAAACATGAAGTATATTATGACTAATAGCACCATAATTATTTCATGGGTAAAATTAAATAAATACTATTTATTGAAAATTTCAGTATTTTTATCTGAAGGACTGAAAGGGTTAATACATAAAACACTGTTAATCTGGAAATTTGCATGAGAGACTGATTGTCCCTTTATTTTTCACCCGAATTAAAGATTTTAGCGACTTTTTGACTACAGCTGAGCTAATTATATTTTTTATGACAATGTTTAAAGCGTTACAAATGTTTTCACTGGTGATTCTCATGTTGTTTTATTTACACTGCTGAACTGAAATAAGAAATTGGTGAACAAATAACATCTCAAATAAGTTAAAAATGTTTTGCAAAACGAATATATCTGACTTTACAGCAGTGTTTTAAGAAAATGCTAAATACATTAAAGTTTGTCAAGTTTTTGAGAACAAGTCTAACTCTAGCTTTTTTCCATTTTAGTGCATCAGGAAGTGTGGTCATGGCTCATCCAAAAGCAAACATGGAAGATGTGGTAGCTATAAAAATTATGGACTTAACAAATCAGCCAAAAAAAGAATTGCTCATCACAGAAATTGAAGTAATGAAAACATATAGGCATGAAAACATTGTTAACTTTCTTGATTGCTACTTTGTAGAGGAAAATCAGGAATTATGGGTAATCATGGAATTTTTGGATGGTGGTCCGTTAACTGATGTAGTAACGGAGACGATAATGAAGGAAGGTCAGATCGCGGCAGTGTCGAGGGAATGTCTTAAAGCATTAGACTTTTTACATGCACGTAGCATTATTCATAGAGATATAAAAAGTGATAATGTTTTGCTGTCTATGCATGGAAGAGTGAAGTTAACAGATTTTGGATTCTGTGCCCAACTTAGTAGCGAGAAATCAAAGCGACAGACAATGGTGGGAACACCATATTGGATGGCTCCTGAAGTCGTTTCTAGGTATGTTTATCCTTAGCTCATTTGAGCACATAGTGAGCAAGAGTTAGTATTGAAGATCAGTTTAGTTTATATACTTTAAACATAAATTAACATCATTATCTTATAATAGGTATAATTATACTGTACAAACAAAAAGCTTTGGACAAAAAGTCAAAAATCTCAAAGGCAAATCATTATCCTGATTAATTTCAAAATGATATCCTTCCAAAATATACTGGGATCCTATGTATTTACCGGACAATCAGTTTACTGGACAAAATCTATTCCTGCCGAATAGTGCTTTATTTTTTGATTTGATTAAAAAATCATACAGACTGAATCGTACACATACTTTCTATTTCAAAGTAAATAACAACAAAACCACTCTCAGGTAAATATTTTTGATTCAGTTCTTTATCTACTAACATGCCCTTTTGTTTACTAGTTATTTCATGACCTGGTCATGCGGGGGAATTATCTGTCCTGCGTAGGCCCGAATATGGAGGCCCTTAATGGGTTATTTTAGATAGGTTTTACTTTTAATTTTTCTCAACGTTACCTTAGGAGACAATCGTAACATAATTCTTTTAATGATAAAAAGTAAATTGAAATTTAGTCCAAACAGTATCTCGTTGTTGTCTTTTACAAAGAAATGCAAATTAAAAAACGGGTTACGCCCATGGGAGGAAACTCTACACGAAATGTAAATAAAATAAGATTTTATGGCTTTTGTAACATGCTACACGATGACCAAAAGGCAACTGTATGACAAAGAACAGAATTTCATTTGAATATCATTTGAATATCAAAATGTTTCATATGTTAAGGATCATGAAGAATCAATACGTTGTGTTAATAGTGTTAATTTCAATTACACCTTATATATTGGCCTCTTCGTAACAGGCATGGCTGCCTATGTCTATTTCTAATGACATACTGGGTTTTTCCAATGTTTTAACATTGCCTTTCAATAGTCGTAGTTTCCTTGCTGATTATTTAAAGATTTATTTATGTAATTTACAAATTCAAAAAATTTTGAAACACAATGTCCGGTAAATTGAGTTGTCTACACAATTTTTTTCTCTTATAATGCCCTACTTTAAAGACACATTTCTATGGTCAAATGTTTGATTTTATGTTTGATAAAGTAATGTTTACGTGTATTAAGAACCCAAAATTATGTGGGGAAAATTCTATTCTATTTTATTGTTTTAAATAAAAGTTACATGTAAAAAAACACCATATTTTGTCCGGTAATATGTAGGATCCCAGTCAGGTATCATAAAACAAGACTTATTATTTATCTACTTCAGACAACAGGTAAACAAATGTTCTAAGAAGGAATCTCCTCTTTGTTAGCTCGACTATACGAAGTATATGGAGAGCTGTCCTACTCACCCCGGCGGTGGCTTCGGCGTCCGCGTCCAGATTTCAGATTAAAGTTTTGGCGCAGTAAAATATTTTTCCCTATAACTTTGTCATTTCTTAAGGTATCAACTTCAAATATATGTTCCTTATCATCAACCACTTCTTATATGACAAGGTTCATAACTCTAGTGCCAATATTTTCAGATTTATCTCCCCTTGAACTTAAAATTTTCCTTAAAAAATACTATTTTTTACGGTTTCTTCTTTATTTCTTAAAGGGTAAACTTCAATCTTCAAATATATTTTCCTTATCATCAACCACATGTTATGTGACAAGGTTCATAACTCTAGCACCAATATTTTCAGGTTTATCTCCCCTTGAACTTAGAATTTTCCTGATAAAATACTATTTTTTACTGTAACTTCTTTATTTTTTAAGGGATCAACTTCATACTACAAATATATGTACCTTATCATCATTCACATCTTATGTGACAAGGTTCATAACTCTAGCACCAATATTTTCAGATTAATCTCCCTTTGAACTAAGAATTTTCTTTAAAAAATACTATTTTACACTGTTACTTCTTTATTTCTTAAGGGATCAATTTCATACTTCAAATATATGTACCTTATCATCATCCACATCTTATGTGACAAGGTTCATAACTCTAGCACCAATATTGCAAGAATTATCTCCCCATAAACTTAGATTTATTTACTAGAAAAATGTTATTTTTTACTATGACTTTTTTAGTTTTAAAGGTATCTACCTCAAACTTCAAATACTTATTCCTTATCATAAATTACATTTTATGTGACAATGTTCATAACTCTTGAAGCAATATTTACAGATTAATCTCTCTTTGAACTTAGGATTTTCTTTAAGAAATATTATAACTTCTTTGAGGCCCACATGGAAGATTGGGTAACCAAATGTGTAGCCTCAGTAAATAAAGACTTTACTTACTTACTTACTTGACTTGACTTGACTTGACTTTACTTTACTTTACTTTACTTTACTTTACTTTACTTTAATTTAATTTACTTTAATTTACTTTACTTTACTTTACTTTACTTTACTTTACTTTACTTTACTTTAAACTTCAAATATATATTTCTTATCATTACACACATGTTGTGTGACAAGGTTCATAACTCTAGCGAGACTATTTCTAGAATTATTCCCCTTGATCTTGGAATTTATGTTAGCAGTGTTATTTTTTTACTAATTTAAAACATAATAATACATAATTGATATTTCTTTCATAGTTTTGTCTTCCTTACTGCGTCCAGTATTTTTTAGTCGAGCTTCGCTGTCTCCTGTGACAGCTCTTGTTTGTTTTCTAACGGAATTTTTATTGCATTATAATACTGCACTTTTGTAACATCAGTTCTCATTGGGCAATGATGCCATTTATATTTTCTGTAAGAGGATGAATCTACATCATTATCATATTAAATGAGCCGCGTCACGACAAAACCAACATAATGCGTTTGCGACTAGCATGGAACAGCCTGTGCATCCGCGCTGTCTGATCAGGATCCATTCTGTTCGCTATCAGTTTCTCTACATGTAAGCGAACAGCATGGATCCTGATCAGACTGTGCAGATGCGCAGGCTGGTCTGGATACATGCTGGTCGCAAACACACTATGTTGGTTTTGTTGTGACGCGGCTCAAATGTAAGCTCATGTATTAACTTACATTTAATGTTCACTTTCTTGTATTTCCTCTTCTATCATATACTAGAAAACATTACGGGAAGAAGGTGGACATATGGAGTTTAGGAATCATGATCATTGAGATGCTTGAAGGCGAGCCCCCATACCTGAACGAGACCCCACTCAAAGCCATATATAAGATCGCAACCAAAGGCAAACCAGAAATCAAGAATTTCAACAAGTTGTCCCCAGAACTTCAAGATTTCCTCAATCGGTCGTTAGAAGTTGATGTGGACAAGAGAGCGACAGCAGGCGAACTTTTGGATCATCCATTCCTTAAAAAGGCGATGGAGCTAACAACATTGAGGGCGTTAATAGTGGCAGCAAAGCAGGCTACCGGTCACTGAGTTCATGTAGAAATTTTTTTCTTTTAGGTTAAAATTTTGTAACATATAATGTTAGAATGATCAGTGATTTTAGAATTTTGTAATAATAGGTACTTTATCATAATGTATACTTAACACAGATATGACGCCATTTTGAATGATGACTACGGAGTGCCGTACAAAATCATATTCAATCTTGAAGATTAGAATTTGTAACATTTAAAACCCACCATCATGGCTGACATAGAGCGAAAGTTTTGAATTATGGGTTAAGTGTTACTGAGAATAAGAGTGCATCCATTTTTGATAAAACTATTGTCATCCATCAGTTGTAAATGTAATACAGATAGTGGAACTTGCGTTCATGTGGATTTTCCCCAATTTTAGGAACAATATAGGGACCAACCAATGTTACAAAATTATTGATATTTAGCATTTTTTGTTTAGGAAAACAAATTTCAGGTCTCTTTACACATTATTTACATTAATTTTCAGTTAGAATACTAAAACATTTGTAAATTACATTATTAATTTTCATGTAACAGTTTTTAATAAACATCCTTTAAATTTCTTTTATTTAAGTTATATTTATTTCTCCATTGTTTCTTATGAATATTTTCAAATATATTTTGTTTTCTCTCCAAGTCAAAGAAAAAAGAAGTTCCCACAATTATGTAAAAATAACTTAATTTTTTTTTATGATCAATGGTTCCTTTAATATATAGTTGCTGCCAAAATTTCTGTTTTGACTGTTTATTGATTCATGTAGATTTATAATGTTTACCTTGTCATGGCATTTAGAACAATGCAATATTCAGATTAATCAAGATTTCTTGTAGATTATATCACCAATTTGTTGTAATTACAATGCTTTGTAACCCTTATCATGCTAAATATCTTTATTAATGGACTTGTCCATCTACAAGTCCAGCTTTCAGTCCGGACAAAACCATTCATCTCTTTCAGGGAAGAATTATAAATTATGTACTGACTGAATAGCAGACAGTGCAGACCATGATTTGATGTCACAGATCTGGTCTGCACTTGCAACATGGGTATAATCTATTGATGCCAGCAGGCTTATGGTTAGAACAATGCAACATTCAATGCGATCAAGATTTCATCGCCATTGTGCAGTTACTGGTTAACTGCTATAAAATTAAGGAATTAACCTGTTACTTCACTAGGGTGACAATTTCTTGTAGATTTCATCTCAGATTATTGTAATTGTAATGCCATTTCACCATTTTATTTCATAATTATCACCACTTATTGTAGAATATATGATTTTAAATTTCATCTCCTTTTCATGTACAGGGACATTATGTAATACCGAGGGATGGTTCATTTATCATGTACATAAAAATTATCATGTACATAGAAATGTTCCTTTTAAGTTAGAGCAATGTTCCTCTATATTTGTTTTGTCTATACAGTGTTTATATACTGTTGTGCTGATAGTTAAGTTCATTGGAATGGTATTTACTGATATATAACCTGCTTCCACTGTGTTATATAACCATAAGCTTATCATTTATCATGTACATTTTTCTGTTAAGTATACATACACTGTTTTTTTTAGTTAATAATAAAATATGTTCACAGTCCAGCAGTGCTCACTCCAAAGTGAGATATATCATTTACTCTTATAGTGAGATATATCATATAATTGCATGGTGAGATATATCATATACTCTCATAGTGAGATATATCATATAATCGCATGGTGAGATATATCATATTCTCTCATGGTGAGATATATCATATACTCTCATGGTGAGATATATCATATAATCGCATGGTGAGATATATTATATACTCTCATGGTGAGATATATCATATACTCTCATGGTGACATATATCATATACTCTCATGGTGAGATATATTATACTCTCTCATGGTGAGATATATCATATACTCTCATGGTGAGATATATCATATACTCTCATGGTGAGATATATCATATAATCGCATGGTGAGATATATACTCTCAAGGTGAGATATATTATATACTCTCACGGGGAGATATAGTATACAATCTCACTATATTGTGAGATATGTCATATTATCTTATCTTACAGTGAAATATATTATCTTTCATGATGAGATATTATATGACATATAATTTAAGAGCACATATATTATTCTGTTAATGTTAGTTCATTAAAACAGGAAGAAATGCACAGTCAGTGATAACAGTTATATTTCACTGATGAAATACAAAATTTCATGAAATTAGCATCAAATGGCTATGATACAATCATTATATCAAGACATTTTTTCAAAAAATAAACTTTATTGAAAAAGCGAAATTACCCACCGATTGTAGTTTTTTGTCAGTAGTTTAATTTATTAATTTAGTTATCACATTAGTTAATTACAATCACACTAGGTGTAGACCTCTAATTTGATGCCACATTTTCACATGCGGTTATTAAACTTATGATTTTGTATATTTGATCACATGTAGTTTTTTTCTACATTGTTAAGTTTTTATATACAATATTTTTCATACATTTGTGAGTGCTAGTTTAAAATTGATGTGATTGTGTTGATTTTGTGTGAGACTTTTTAACCACAGTTGAATGTTTATATTAACCTTTACCACAGTTATTTCTATGGTCACCTTTACCATAGTTAAGTTTTTGGAATAGCCTTTACCACAGTTATGTTTAATGGTTACCTTTACCACAGCTAATATTTTGGAATAGCCTTTACCACAGCTATGTTTAATGGTTACCTTTACCACAGCTAATATTTTGAAATAGCCTTTACCACAGGGGGTCCACAGATATGTTTTATGGTTATCTTAACCACAGCTATGTTTTATGGTTACCTTTACCACAGCTAATATTTTGGAATAGCCTTTACCATAGCTATGTTTTATGGTTATCTTTACCACAGCTAATATTTTGGAATAGCCTTTACCATAGCTATGTTTTATGGTTATCTTTACCACAGCTAATATTTTGGAATAGCCTTTACCACAGCTATGTTTTATGGTTAGCCTTTACCACAGCTAATATTTTGGATTAGCCTTTACCACAGTCATGTTTTTGAAATAATCTGTAAATCTAGCTAGAATTTCAGTAATCTTTACCATAGCTACATTATCATAGTTATTTGTCACAACCTAATTTTTGTAGAAGCCTTAACTACAGCTAATTTTTGTATTAATTAATGTGTATACAATGCCTTTACTAAGCTAACGTTTACCACAACTGATTTATTGTTTTAATCTTAACCACAGCTAAATTTTTATATTAACCTTAATTACCACTGCTAAATTTTTGTAGTGGATTTACTTTATTTCCAACTTTGAATAATTATAAAAGTTTTGTAAGTTCAGGTCAGATATTAAAACTGTGAAAAATGAGCCTTGATTCTGGTCAGACTGTGTAGGTAGACAGGCTTGTTTGAGTTTATTTTTTCAGGTATCCTCCTGTTGTTAAAAATGCTAGCAATTAATGTTAAAAGGGGCCAGTCTTTGTTATCTTGGGAACATTTATAAAATTGAGTCCTATCTCAAACTCATTAAAACCATATCCTCACTAATTCTTCATTAACTTGTGCTAAAAGGATTCTGATTGCATCACATTTAAGGTCGCCTCTATTTGACCTTTGACTTTTAATGATATCATCATGTTGTTAGCTTAAAGGCATCAGAGATTTTTTTTTCAATTCTGTTAAAGTGCAAACATTAGTTTTATAATGTTTAGATAATTGTTTTAGGGGATGTTAGATGCTTAATACCTGAAGAAATTAGTGCCCAATTTGAATTTGGCTTGTCATAAAAGAATCAAAATGTAGACAAAGTAGTATTTTGACTTCCATACAAAATACTAAATTACTATAACAATACTATAGTTGCAAAAAAGAAAGAGAAGAAAAAGATGGTTTAGGCAATTGGCCAGTGAGTATATTTTTGCATTCCATAAAAGGGTACAAAAAATAAAAAGCTTTTGAGAAGTAAAATAAATGCATTTTTTGGAGCATAATGGGCCTTTAAAAATTTGTTTTGTAACCATGCACAGGCTGAATCAAACCGAGCCTACAACTTTTATGTTTTTGCCGTTTTGGGCATTCTTTGGGGATTGCGCTTAATTCTGGAACGTTTTTGTTTTGAACAATTGTATTTGATTGAACAAAGTTTTGACAGTATGACAAGAGAGCTTCAAGAATTAATTCTATCATTAAATTATGTGTTTTACTAGATAATCTGAACCAGATTTGTTGATTATCATTCCTACTTGTTATCTTTTGTATACTATCATTTACATTGTATGTTTATATTTTACATACATTCCTTATTGAATTTTTCTTCATTTCTTCAGGAAGATGTATTTGTTATTTGTATTATGTATAGCCATGTTTGAACTACAGCAGACACGAGGGTTTTCAGTGTTAAATTAGACTGATAAATGAGAAAGTAAGATGATGACCCTCGACTTGTTTCTCATTAATTTGTTGAAATTTTAAATGATTTGTTTTTTTATCTCACCTGTCACAAAGTGATAGGGTGAGCTTTTGTGATTGCTTTACGTTTGGCGTCCGTCTGTCGTCGTCCGGCGTCTGTCCGTAAACTTTTACTTTATTTAAATGACATCTCCTCATAAACCACTAAGCCAATTTCATCCAAACTTCACAGGAATGTTCTTTGGTGGTCACCTTTAAAAATTGTTCAAAGAATTTAATTCCATGCAGAACTCTGGTTGCCATTGCAACGGAAAGAAAAAAACTATTATTATCTTCTTTTGAAAAACCATAAGAGCTAGAGCTTAGATATTTGGCATGAAACATCTTCTAGTGAGTGTCTACCAAGTTTGTTCAAATAAAAGCCCTGGGTTCAAAATTGGCCCCGCCCCAGGGGGTTATTGATTTTCCCTATATGCATATAGTAAAAACTTAAAAAGTCTTCTTTTAAAAAACCCAAAGAGCTAGAGCTAAGATATTTAGCATGAAACATGTTCTGATGGGTGTCTACAAAGTTTGTTCAAATAAAAGCCATGGGGTCAAAATTGGCCCTGCCCCGGGGGTCATTGATTTTCCCTATATGCATATAGTAAAAACTTAAAAAATCTTCTTTTAAAGAACCCAAAGAGTTAGAGCTAAGATATTTAGCATCAAACATGTTCTAATAAGTGTCTACCAAGTTTGTTCAAATAAAAGCCCTTGGGTCAAAATTGGCCCTGCCCCGGGGGGGGGGGGGTCATTGATTTTCCCTATATGCTATAGTAAAAACTTAAAATATTTTCTTTTAAAGAACTCAAAGAGCTATGGCAAAGACATTCAGCATCAAACATGTTCTAATAGGTGTCTACCAAGTTTGTTCAAATAAAAGCCCTGTGGTCAAAATTGGCACCGCCCTGGGGGTCATTGATTTTCCTTAAATGTGTATTGGAAAAACTTAAAAAAATCTTCTTTGAAGAAACCCAAATAGCTAGAGTTAAGATATTAAGCATGAAACATCTTTTAGTGAGTGTCTACAAAGTTTGTTCAATTAAAAGACCTGGGGTCAAAATTGGCTTCGCCCGGGGGGTCCTTGATTTTCCTTATATGTGTATAGCAAAAACTTAAAATCTTCTTTGAAAAAACTCAAATAGCTAGAGTTTAGATATTAAGCATGAAACATCTTCTAGTTGGTGTCTACAAAGTTTGTTGAAATAAAATACCTGGGATCAAAACTGGCCCTGCCCCAGGGGTGTCATTGTTTTTTACTATATGTGTATAGTAAAAACTTTAAAAAAAATCTTCTTTTAAAAAGCCCAATGAGCTAGAGCTTAGATGTTTAGCATGAAACATCTTCTTATGGGTGTCTACCAAGTTTGTGCAAAGAAAAGACCTTGGGTTAAAATTGGCCCTGCAACGTTGGGGGTGGGGGGGCTATATACAGATGAGCGACCTCAGGGCCATCATGGCCCTCTTGTTAAATCATACAATGTTTAAGAAAATCCTAAGCATGAGTTTAAATCTACCATCTTTGTCTTTGTAAAAAAATTACACTTCTCACAAAAACGTCTGTGAACTAAAATGATATATTTTGAAAGAGTGTTATATTAGAATAATTTTATTTTAATGATTATAAAGAAATTGAATTTTTATGAGTATAAGTCTCTGTTTTTAATGAAGAGACTGACGGTAAACTGCAGTCAACATTTTATTTTTTATTGGAAGTGAGTCAGGGGAGCTAACTATAGTAATGATTAATGAAAATTTGTTATTTAAGTTATTTGTAAGAAATACTGTTGAAATACATGAAGTAAGTGAAATTCGTTTAGTTTTATTGCAGATATTGGAGAATGATTATTATAATGTAAAGATAGTTCCAACTGATAAATAATTTTTATGTTAACAGATAGTTATTTCAAAAATTTGACCTTTTCAGTGATTTGACCTACTATAGTATTTAATATTTCATGTACTTGAACATGATATTGTATGTAATTTTATATTTGATTTTAGTTATTGATATAAAAAATACACACATATACATAGGAATTATCTGTTAAAACGAGTTTTTATGATTTCCCAGGGACAATGGACACTCTGATGAAAATTATATAAGTTTCTCATAACATTTTGTAAATCTTATGTGACCTATGTGTGTATGTACCATCTTTATCTAAGATAATCAACTTGTTTCTTTCACTAGTTCTTTGATAAGGCAGGTCATAGTTGATTTAGTGATTTTGGTAAGAATATATATAATTATATTTAACAATATAAAACTATTTCTGTCACATGCTGAAAGTTGTACTATGTATGTGGATATGAGAGTACACAGGCCTTGGTGTGTGGAAGTTGTACATACTTGCTAAATGGATAATTATATAATCTACTTGTGTGTAGTGTAATTTGGATATCTGTGTTTAATGTCGTCTCTATATTCATATTACTAATTTTATAATAAAAATAAAATAATCGTTGGAAATACATCATTCTTGTTGTTTTGAATTTTGTATGAAATTATGAATTATGAAAGCGTATATTGAAAGGTCTTTGCTTAATTTATCTTGGCATCCATGGAAATGTGTTTAAGATTGCTGAGTACAAACTTTTACTTTAAATGACATCTCCTTATAAACTGCTGAGCCAATTTCATCTTAACTTCACAGGAATGTTCCTTTGGTGGTCACCTTTAAAAATTCAAAGAATTTAATTCCTTGCAGAACTCTGGTTGCCATGGCAACCAATAGAAAAAACTTAAAATATCTTCTTTTAAAAAACCCAAAAAGGTAGAGCTTAGATATTTGGCAGAAAACATCTTGTAGTGAGTGTCTATCAAGTTTTTTCAAATTAAAGCCCTGGGGTCAAAATTGGCCCCGCCCCAGGGGTAATTGTTTTTCCCAATATGCATATAGTAAAAACTTGAAAAAATCTTCTTTGAAAGGACCAAAGAGCTTGAGCTAAGATATTTGCATGAAACATGTTCTAATGGGTGTCTACCAATTTTTTTCAAATAAGACCCCTGGGGTCAAAATTGGCCCTGTCCTGGGGGTCATTGATTTTATTTATGTGTATAGCAAAATCTTAAAAAATCTTCTTTGAAAAACCCAAATAGCTAGAGTTAAGATATTAAGCATGAAACATCTTCCAATTAGTGTCTTTAAAGTTTGTTCAAATATAAGCTCTAGGGTCAAAATTGGCCCTGCCCTGGGGGACATTGATTTTCCTTATATGTGTATAGCAAAAACTTAAAAATCTTTTCTGAGAAAAAAAAAACAAATAGCTAGAGTTTAGATTTTAAGCATGAAACATCTTCTAGTGAGTGTCTTCAAAGTTTGTTAAAAAATGCACTGGGGCAAAATTGTCCCGCCCTAGGGGTGTCATTGCTTTGAACTATATGTGCATAGTTAAAACTTAAAAAATCATTTTTTAAAAAAATAAACGAGCTAGACCTTAGATGTTTAGCATGAAACATCTTGTAATGAGTGTCTACCAAGTTTGTTCAAATAAAAGCCCTGGGGTTTAAATGGCCCCACTCTGTGGGCCTATATACAGGTGAGGGACTTCAGGGCCATCATGGCCCTCTTGTTTATATTATTAATGTCTGAATATTACTTGAGGATACGGTTTACAGTAAAATATGAAGACAATTATAAAAAGTGAAGCCCTTGGTGAATAGAGTAAAAATACTGTTATAATAGTTTCATGTAATTATCTGAGAGTCTGCTTTATGCAGTTCAAGAATAAAAAAAAATCAATTCCAAAATTCTTGAAACAAAGTGATCCCTCGGAAGCATTAATCACAACAAAATAACACAAGAATTGCAGACTCGGTTTTATTGAGTCTGTACATGAGGGATAATGAATAAGTGCAACATCTCTCACGCCCCCTAGCACCGGCTTGAGCGGTACTCAATTCTTAAAAATTTATAGTGCTGGCATCAATGTTTCCGAAGGACCCTTGGTTAGCACAGACCAGAAACGAATATAGTAGTTCAAAGCATTTGATGTCTTGCACGCCTACACTCTGGTGAGGTACGCGATATCGATCTGAATAGAAATTTAATCTGATTCGCACCGTTTTTGCAGCAAAGGTCATGCCTACATTTTGCTTTCGATAAATAGGCCAAGTCCACGAAATCAACTTACAATGTAATGTTCATATGCTGAATAAAGAATTGAATTGAATTGAATGTACTTCAATCTGGATTTTTTTTAAATTTAATTTCAACATGTAAAGGCTTGTTATCAAAATGGAAGCCCCGAAGGTCGCGCAACAATTTAGACAACGAGGTACATGGAAATACCACATACCCCCCTCCCCCCTTTTTAAGCCTGTAAATATGCGTCATTTACAAGCTTAAGAAAAACGTGAAATACTCAACACTGTTTAATGAACTCTTTATTTCATACCCCGCTTCTAAACAGAAAACACATAAAATAAAAGAGAACACCCAAAAGCAACAGTATCTTTATATTATATTAAACATACAGTTACTGCGGATACAAAATGGATTTAATATTAAATTTTGAACTCGATGGAATTAAAACGAGGCTTTTAAGAGTACAATATTGATTTGATATGGATTTTTGGACTCGGTAGATGAAAACGAGGCTATAAGGAGTAAATACGCATTTGATATGAAATGTTTAAAAATGTGTCTTGATTGATAATATTGGATGAAATAATGATTGATATGGGAACATCAATTTCTTTAAATGCTGGAAGTGTGCTGGTAACAGTTTATAAGGCATGAAAAAAAGATGATTTTGCAGACTCAAACTAGTCTCTATAGTTTCGTTGTTTTTACTGAGGTAGTTAATTTGACTTCAAAAATTTTCAATAACTGTATGGTATAAAGATACATCAACACTGTTTTAAGTATTTGCTTATTTATTTTTGTTTATAAAATTTTATAGCTCTAATATAAAAAAAAAATTATATTTTTTAAATTTTCAATTGCAATATCAAAATATATGCTTGTTTCACAATATCATAAAAAATATGGAAACAAGTTAAGGTGTGTCCATTTTTCACTTCCATTCACAAGTGAACAAAAGTGGTTTACAAAATCCGTGTTCAAATCATGGCGTGTCTATTCGAGGGCATCAAGGCGTGTCTACTCGAGGGCATCGAGTTCGGCTTGTTCAAAAGCGGCGTCACATATCGCCTCCATAGCCTCAATACCCTCCTCAACAGAGCGTCCATTTTCACCTGCAGCCTCCTACAATTCAAATGTTAGAAAGGCTGAATACCACTACATCTAAATACAAAGAATGATAATCGACTAAATTTTGTCATACCTAAGGATGTTTTTGTCTTTCTGACCTCTCTTGTCATGTGTTTAAGGTTGCTAATTTTAGATTTCTCGCCATAAGCGTTTTTGTTCACAAAGCCAGCAATTGGTTGAGTTGAATAGAATCTAGCCTATTAGGTAACATAAGATTGGTTCTTCTACATAAATGTCAGCCGATGAACTAAGTGTCCCTCACTGAACAGAATCAGAACATTGACCTTTACTGTAAGCGAGCCGTAAGAAAAAGATAATATCAAAGTTTAAATAAAATACAAGTTTGCTCTGTTGGTAAAAACAAATATTTGCACAAAAAACCCCTGAAATTTAAGTTTATTGGATCTTAAGTTTTATTTGTGTTTCTTTTGTGGCTTTTGTCAAATTGAAACTATCTTTACTGGTATGTAAATGTATATTACCTTTTCTTCAGCCAGTTTTACAAGCTCTTCGCAGATTCCAAGTAGTGCTTTAACTTTGTCGAACTCTTTTTGCTCGCCGTTCTACAATAAAATAAATGAAACAATATGTTCTGCAATGTACTTAAAATCTTGTCATGAGAGCGACTTTTTACGTCAGACCTGATATTCAACTGATTTTATATAAAAAATTAATTATTTAAGTTACCCGCCATGTATACATACATCTTTAATGTTAAATGAATTTCAAAAAATGTTAAAGCTGGTTTATATATACAGCACAGATTTATTTTCATAATCTTACATCTTGTCTAGCTTCAAACCAGCTCCTGACTACGTTCTGCTGTGGTGGGGCATCAGATGGGGTTGGTCGACTCCCCTTACCGCTTTTTCTGCCATTACTGCCCTTGCTCCCTTTACCGCTTCTGTCTCCACTTGGACTGTTACCATCATCATCGTCATCATTGGTATCATCATCTACGCCCTTGAGAGGAAAAATTGTTAATTACTGAACACTTAAACAGTAAAAATCTGTAATATTTTACTCTAATTCTGTATTTATTGTAATCATTCCTTATACGTATCTCTTTTTTTTCTCATTACAAGTCTATAGCACAACGTTTAACGGTATTATGAAAAAAACAGTCATTATACTAAACATTGAAATTACCGGTCAGATATCATTGAATGTGATTAGACACGAGGTGACAACATAAAGGTATATTGTTTACAGAAAACATTGCAAAGAAAAACGCATTTCGTGTATTTTACAGTTGGTATCACAAATTTAATTTTGAACAAAATTATTATGTATTTTGTTTGGAAAAGGTACAGTAGTTTCTTAAAAAAAGGAATAATTAAGATGTAGAATTTTTATTTTTTTGGGGTAAAATGTCGAGTAAGATACTACCATGCTTCTGTCTTTAAACCAATCTTTAAGGAGGTTTCTGAGTGGTGGTTGTCCAGAAGGTCTTGGTCCAGTCTTGCCACTTTTCTCATCATCATCATCATCATCATCCATTGTTTTATCTCCTCCACTCATTCCACCTCTACTTCCATCTTTATCACCACTGCCTTTTCCGAAACGTTTTCTTTTCATATCTCCACCAGATTTTCCACCACTTACGCCCTGGTCGAATATTAGAGACAGTGTATAAGTACAACAGTACTAGCAATTGATAATTATTTTTTATCTGATGTTTCATTTGAATTGATAAGATCACTGTTTAAGAGTCTAAATTGTTCACATTTTTCAGTCGATAAGCCTTTTCTGATCATTTTAAATTTTTGATTAAAAGTAGAAACAATGTCTATACTGTAAAGCCGATACATTTTAATTCACATTTTGATGACAAATTTAGCGATATTTCCGTGAATGAGTACAAAAATGTTCCCTACAGTTTGCTTGTATTATATATTTCACTGTGGAATTTTTTTCTCTCTTATTGACGAATGTGTCCATAATTCATATTTGAGCCGCGTCACGACAAAACCACAGAAATGGGTTTGCGACCAGCATGGATCCAGAGCAGCCTGCGCATCCGCGCAGTCTGATCAGGATCCATGCTGTTCGCTATCAGTTCCTCTATTTGTTATAGGGTTGGTAAGCGAACAGCATGGATCCTGATCAGACTGCGCGGATGCGCAGGCTGGTCTGGATCCATGCTGGTCGCAAACCCATTTTGTAGGTTTTGTCGTGACGCGTCTCAATTATATCTTACCTCTTTATCTTCCAGATCTTCAAGAATTTCTGCACAGACTGGGGCCAACATTCCAAATACGTCATCCCAGGAACGTTTATCAGCATTGTCAAGGGCTTCCTCCGCGAGAGTCAAACATAGTTTAACCATACGTGCTTTCAGAGGAGGCTTCTTGTCTCCACCACGTCCTTTCTGTAGAGTTAAAAGTCACATACATGTATATTACTCATTTTTGAAAAATTATATTTCGTTCATTTCGACTCTGCTCATGGCATACGCAGTGATCTCCCTTTGTTCAGCTACACAGACGGAATATATCACTGTGAAAAGTTTGGTTGTCATAGTGATGTATGTTGATAGCATTGACAACAATTTATAAATCGTAATTAATATACTACAATGTACATGCACTTGAAAATGGTGTTAACATGGTGCCTTTCTGCAGTAAATAGTTATAAATCATTTATTATTTTTCTCTAGCCAATAATAATGTATCGAAGAACATTTAGAGAATGCACTCAAAAAATTCCATGAATGTTTGAAAATGATCCGTAGTTTAAGATAATAAAATAATTGCAAAACTAACCGGAGATGGCTTGGCGGCAGCAAACGCTAAACAACACAGTACCAGGACGACAAATTTCATCTAAAAAGAAAGAAATACTTAAATGTGAGGAATCACACATACGCACGAGTATTGCAATCTTTGCGAGCTGTACCTTTCTGTAAAACAAAGTAACTGTTTTCAGTGTAATTTATATTACGGCGTATCGTATGTATGTATGGTGTTTATGCTTAATGAGGGTCCATCCGCCCGTGAGGGCACAAAAAGCAGCTTTCGCTGTCGAGTACGGACCCCGGACATGTCACCAGTCATGCCCTTAAAGTATGTTATAATTCTAAAGTGGTGACCTATTTGATTGAAATTCAGTAATTCACTGAATGAGCCCAAATAATATGCAAATGCTTTTTTAGATTTATTAATGAAATAATACACGGGAGGCCAATTAGACCATTGTGTGCATTATGTTATTTAGTTAAAGAATGTGTTGCTGCCTAAAATAAAGGATCAAGAAGCGGACGGGTAAGGTTTTCCTGACATATAGACTCACGGACAAGCAAGGTGTTTTTGGTTCGGTGCCTCAGACAAGCAAATCGGAAAGACAAGTTCACTCCTTCCAGTTTTCAGCTCCGCCATGGACCATGGACTGCTTCCGTTAAGCATTGCCCCTTTTATACTTTTTTCCATACTGTACAAGTTTCAACATTTTTCTCCTACGGCTTAATGTGTATATTGCATTTTTTTACAAGTTTCCTTAAATACAAGTTTCTATTTTTATGTGCACGACTTATTTGTGAGCATTGCCTATTGTAATGTATTGTATCTTACAATATGTTTTTCCAAATGATGATAAAACATTTTATTTAATTTTACCCATGAAATATGGCACTATATCAGTCAAATATATATCATATTTGTGAAAAGTTAATATGAAAAATGAATATGAAAGGAAGTGGAGCAAAAACTCATATTTACTGTTGGGTCTACTTTCTCAGCAATGAGAAGATTCATCTTTTTATTTCACCATCAGATATTATCTGGTTATGTTTTTTTTTTCAAGTGATTAATTGTGCATTGAATTCGGGTTTTTTAAATAATAATACATGTATATAATTGCAACTGCGTAGCAAATAACTTTTTCTTGAAAAAAAAAAATGAAATAAAACGGTATTATTTCGTGAATATGAAATATATTTGCACTTAACATAACAAACTTGTGAAAATATATGGAATTAAATTATGTTTCGTGAAAATATATTTTTATTATTTTCATTCAATCGAAAAAAATATCCTCTTAATAATTAAAGACACAGAGACCTTAATTAGTGTTTATGCATGCTTTATATCTTTTTATACATGCACATTTATTTTAAGTATCATGACACAGATTTCAACATTAATAAAATAGAGAGATTAGATTCTAAGTAAATGTTAAAATAAGTTAACTAAAAATTACTAAAAGCTTACCTTGCTTGTTGATAATTCACCTGTAACTATGACGGGTAGGGACTGAAGGACGGCTTTTATACATACTCCGGGTAAATCAACATTACTGTTTGTAATTTGGATATCACGAACCGATCAACATGCGCTTTTGAAATCTATGCGAGGTGATCACGATTTGTCAATATTTTGTTTGGAACTTAGTTGATATTTTTATTATAAATTGATTGAAAATTAAGCAACAATTACTTTGGTAAATAAGTAAAAATGAAAATACATCTCTTAACAAATGGATATAAAACGGTTATACAACATATAGTTGACAAATATTTGTTGTAAGATTTGATTAAATGGGTATCGTTAAAGATCCTCAAAACGTTTTTAAATTAATGTATTTACTTTAGAGAACATTTTCAATAAAGATATATAAATATTCTTTGTTAGTACCTGGTCATTTTATAGTAATGCAGACCTACGTATACGATTGTTAAAAAGACTGATTAAACAACCCCACGCAGTATACTGTTCCATTACGTTAATTCACCTATATTTTGACACGGTCATATACCAGAAGCATGATATTTTTGTTCCCTAACGTTTCTATATATTTACGCTTGAGAATTAGTGTGGGCCAGAATATCATTTGTTACATAAGTTTCCATACGTCAAGGACTGTCATCTATCGTTGATGTTTAATAACTTTTCTGTCTTAATCTGAAAAAAGGGATTTCTTTATACATGTATTTTTAAATTTTGCTACACCTTTTTAAATACGCCATCTTCTAATATGTCTGAAAATCAAGATGTACAAACTCTGGCGGTTTCTGTTTCGAGACTTTTACCGCCACTTTTCTTTACAAATGTTCTAAAATTCATACTTCCCAACTTTGCAGACATTTACCTTGATTCATTTTTTTTTAAATAAACACAAATTTTACGGTTTCCGTTCTGTGACTTTTGCCGCCAGCTTTATTTGTTTTTGGTTTTTTTAAATTACCAATACTCGTTCTTCCAAACTTTGTAGACCTTTCCTCTGATTTAATATTTTAAAACTAAACGCAAACTTTACTGATGTCAAATTATAAATTTGCTAGTGTGGTTTCTTCATATATATGGTTTTGTGTATCGTATTTTATGCAGAACTAATATATCAATAGTTTCTATTTGACCAGCAATATTTCTTTATTTTAATTACTTTAAATACAAGGTATGTCAGTTTGTTGCTAATATCTAGATATATTGTACCCATTGGTTCTATAAATCTGTCTTCAATTTACTTGGATAAAATGTTTCCTCTCTCCTTGTCCCATAAAGAACTGGTTGATTTCTTAATGCAGTATCTGTTAATCTTGAGTAGTGAAACAAAGAATATCGCCACTTTATTATTTTTTTCTAATATGAAACGAAATAATCACTTAGCTTTGATATGTGAGCCGCGTCACGATAAAACCAACATAGTGCGTTTGCGACCAGCATGGATCCAGACCAGCCTGCGCATCCGCGCAGTCTGATCAGGATCCATGCTGTTCACTTACCAACTCTATGACAAGTAGAGAAACTGATAGCGAACAGCATGGATCCTGATCAGACTGCGCGGATGCGCAGGCTGGTCTGGATCCATGCTGGTCGCAAACGCACTATGTTGGTTTTGTCGTGACGCGGCTCAAATTGATTTTTTTGGTCAACTGTGAAACCCACAATTTAGATTTTTCTCGTATATTTTTTAATTTCATTCTAACGCGTGCGAAAAGCTAAATCTAAGGCTGTTATAGAAATATTTCTTTATCTTTATTAATGGTACATTTGATAAGCTAAACATATATTAACCAAGTAAATAAATTATGAGTATCATTTAGTTTTTCTCTCAATATTTACATTAAAATTTAAAGATATCAACCTGAGTGAAGCATGGTCGTTATATTTTACCTTAAATGAAAGCTTGCGTACAATAATTGTTAACATTTCTTTTGCAACATCTCGTTTTAACAATTTTTTTTTAATTAAATGATACAATGTCTTGTTGGCTGTAACCACAGCCAATATTTAAATGTAAGAAATGAAAAATGATGTCTTTTTTTAAAAATAAATAAATAAAGATTAATAAAACACACACAAATCCAAACACCGTTAGTTACTTCTTGCATGTCTGCCAGCCTGCTGATAGACGATTGATAAGTCAGTGTGAAAATTATCAAAGTTTCAAACTTTATTGGCAAATCAGTACAAAAACCTTTAGACACGCACACGCACGCACGCACGCACGCACGCACGCACGCACACACACACACACACACACACAGAAAACACATGTCGATTTAGTGTTTCATCGTATCAGAGCGGGAAGACTTTTTCTCCAGTATGAACTGTCCTAAAGTTTAAATGTGTCTATTTTCGAGTGCTATATAATATTTTTGAGTGCTATATAATATTTTGGAGTGCTATATAATATTTTGAGGTGTTATATAACCATACGCATATGCTATAGGTAATTGTTATTATTTCACCATATATCGGTAACTAATTGCTAATGCCCAGAGAACAGACATCAGTCGGTCATGCATAACACTCATCGTAAGGGGCAAAAGTTTTGCGTACAGTTAATTTATCGAACCAATTATCATGCGTACAGTAAGAAATACGGAAATATTGTGGATATATGCGAATAATTCTTTACGTTCTTTTTTCTTGATTTTATAGTTTTGCTTTTTTAGTTAACACGTTAATTAGTGCTATTACTAATCAAGTATCTGTTTCAATATATTTGTTATTGTATTCTTTTAAAATGTTTGTCAGGTTGCTGGTGGCATTTGAAGAAACAAATAACCTCAATAGCTTTCTCCTTACCATGAAATATATTCTTCATGTGTATCATACTTTGGGGACATTTCTCTTGAAAATGTGTCCGATTAAATCGTTTACATAATTATATACATGCATATATCGTTAACTGGAGTGCAGGACTATTAGTTACCTGGGGTTTCATGTTGTGACAACAGGGAACGTATATTTATTTTTGCCTATGATAGAAAAGAGAAAGAACTCTTTCTCATACACAAGTATATGGCCTGCTCCGCGTGCACTTTATTATTCGAACAAAATGTACAACATGCAACAAATATGTAATAGTTATAGTTCAGATTTTAAAAAATATGGAATTTATTGCAAGCGTAGCGTAGCGGAGCGCAGCAATAAGTTCTATATTTTTTAAAATATGAACTATTACTGGCTTACCGTTTGACCCACTTTCGTGGAATAAGTCACGTACAAAGTGTCTGTACAACGTTTGTTGTATTACTAGTATAGACTGACAGGCCAACAGGCCGGCAGAGCATCACATGACCGGATTGTTTTGACCTGTCAATCAAAGTCTTGCGTTTTTATGTATTTTATACATCATAAGTCATCATAGAGCAATTGTGTTTGGCATAATGAGTATAGATGGTGACTTTAACAAGAATAATATTTTTTAACCATTTTCTGTCGAATGTGCTGATGTGGTCACGGTTGCTTAATATTGATACACAGTATTTATATGCAGACACGAGCAAAGGAAATAACTCAGGTAAATATTTAATAAAAAGATTAATAATCTCGAATTCTCACAATATTTAACTGCATCATTATTTGAATGAAAATACAAATTGTTACATGGCCAGGCGCGCAGCTTTTCTACGCCCAACCAGCACAGAACCTCAAAGTAGATGACAGTAAAGTATTCAAACATAATATGGTTAATCTGCTTAAAATGCCGTTGCAATTATTAAAAAAGAAAAAAAAATGAAAATCATATTTAAGTGATTTATTTGATATTTGAAGGTCTGTTTGAAAAGCTTTTGTCGTCTAATGACATTAACAAGAAACAGACAATAAAGTGCCCTATAATTCAACGAAAAACAACAACTGGGCAGTGCACGGCTGAAAACCGGAGACTAAGCAAGAGCCTTGTGGAAATAGAGCAGTTCCGTTCATGTGCAGAAATGGATATTA